TTCTAAATTACTTTCATAATTTTTATTCATATGATCGTCATAGTTATTATGTTTTCGATTCATGTGCTTTTTAAAGCTGCCTAAGTTTTGAAAAACTTGATGACAGTTATCTTCAAAACATCTAAATATACCCGATGTTTTTAAATCATGTACGCGTTTAAAATGATGTGAAAGTATTTGAAAGGAATGAAAGGTTTTTTTACAGATAAAGCATAACATTATACTGATTATAAGTGTATAACTAATATTTTTGCATCATTATCCTTTAACAAAAACACAATTTTTTTTTAATGCAACTAACTAACCCGTTTTAGAATAGATAGAATTAATATGATGGTAATGTGATCTGAAATTAAAATATCGTAGCGTCTCGTACAGAGGTGAGTCAAGCCACGTCAAGGGACCAGAAAATTTCAAGAAATCATTAATTTTGAAAAAAATGCATTATTGTATAGCAGGCATGACGCATATGTCCCAGTGACCACTGTGTGTAATTGAATGAAATTTTATACACTTTTGTTGTAATGTTTAGACTATACAATGAGATTTTAATTAATGTTAATTTGTTTACGCTGAAATAGTATATTATGTATTAATTTTAATAAACGCCATTTTAGTCACGAATTTTAATTATGCGAGTGTTTAATGAAAATAATTGTCTAGAGAAGTTAATAAACGAGTTGCATAAGGTAAGGTGGGGTAATTGCGATATGTTTTTTTACTAGTTGGCATTGTCTCTTGAATTAAAAGTAAGGAGTGATAAAACTAAACCAAATCCAAAGCTCATTATATAGCCCAACTACTCGAGAATTATATTCTAAAGTATAAAACGTTAGAAACTAAGGGCTAAAAAATTACATCTTTTTTTTTAAACGTTCCTAACATATTGCATTTGCCCCGAAAAATGGGGCAAATGTGTTAGCGGCTAATTACATTACACTATTAATGTATTTGTAGTGGGTATGGGGCTAATGTAAAAGAGGAAAAAAATAGGATTATTTTGGTATAAAATCGCGTGAATCCGTTAATAATCATAAGGTGTGTAAACTTTTTTTTATTTTTAATTTAAGAATTAACAGACTTCGCGGTTAATACAAAAAGGAAAAAATGATTTATTATTATGTACTTAAGTAACCAAGTGGTACTGCGCAGTAGTTGTCGGGATTTCTCAACTTAGATATGCAACCCAAGACAACAGCGTGCGTTTTTATTCGTTTGCTTTTATTTACTACTTCAAGTAAGAATTTTATCGCAAGATGTTACATTTACCCCAATCTTACAATTACCCCACCTTACCTTACTATACTTTTTCTACGACGAACATCATTATTATAAAAAATAACTTTTTAATGTTTAATTTAAATGTTTCCATAGGACATCTATAGAATTTTAGAGTAACTAAAATTAGGAATCTGTATTATCTTTTTAAAACAGATATTAATTAATTGTTGATTCAAAAATTGTACAAGCAGCCGCATCTGCAATAATTATTTTACAGCCGGAGAAATCCAAACATCAGTACGTGAGTTTGAACGTACCTACGTACCTATTTATAAATTTGTTCAAGATTGGCGCCAAGAAAGGGATGAAACCGAAAACTTTAATAACATTAAGAAAAAAACAAATGCCTACTATACAATAATGTAGGTACTTTACTTCAAAATCGGTGATTTCTTAAAATTTTCTGGTTCCACTTGACGTGGCTTGACTCAGGTCCTTAAAGATAATTACTTACCTAACCTCACACCAGTACCTAGGTCGTTGTTTTGGTATGTGAAAGCACAACACAAACACAATCACTTATATTATTTAGTTCAGCTGGAATCAGTATCTTAATTCAACATTTAACAGCACTAATTGTATTAACGTTAAAAGTTATAGAAAAATCGAGATCAAATCAACCGAGCGACCTGCCTTTGCGCGATTACGTTTAGATACTGATTGTCCCGCCGAAATTCAAGAATTTGGGTGGTAACCTAGTCAAGTATTCGTTGTCCCAACGAACGCGTTCGTTAAGCCAATTAACAATGTTATTGTTTAATTAATTCGTTTAATTAGACTATGTATGCGTTTTATTACAACTACGAATGCTGTTATTGATCAATAAACAATGTTATTGTTTAATTAATGCGTTTAATTAGACTATGTATGCATATTATCAGCAATACGAATTCTGTTATTGATTAATTAACATAGTTATTGGTTAATCAATGAAACATTTATATTACGTACGGAATTTATTAATACTTTACCTTACTAAGATAATTAAAAATGTTTATTAATATAACGTTTCTTACAACCGCAGTATTGGTTGGGTTAATAAAAGTTTGATGGTACCAACAAACAGTTGCATTGAATACCGAAACACGTTTAATTAATTTTTAATAAACACCGATTCGTAATATCAATAAAAAGTATGAAACTTCCTTAATAATGCAGCAATTTTTTTTCATAATATCAATTAAAAAAACATTGTCTCAATAAAAAACCATTTAATTAATGCTGTTTATTAATACTACTACCGATATTTTTTTCAGTGTAACCAAATGTTTTCAATAAACTTGCAGGTTATATAACCAATAAGTAAAAACATCCTAAAATGGCCATATTGTTTGCCATTTTAATAATTTGTTTTATTCCAAAAATAAGGTAATTAAAACCAAACATAATATTATTTTATGTTAAAAAGCATTTTAAATCAATTTCAAACGAAATAAAAAAAAAATATATGTTTTTAATATTTATTTCCTATTTCTCTTAAACCAGATAATTATGGTTTAAGTTGATTTAAGAGTAGTTAAAAAAGGGTAAAATAAACTAAAACTACCAAATATTACCTTCTTTTTAACCAAAAGGTACATTAACCAAGAAGTTAAACTTAACTAACATAACGTTAAATTTACCATAATTGAATTCCCCACTTTTTACAAAATAACGTTAATTTAAGGTTAATTTAACGTTGTAGCACAATATTACTTAAATGAATTAACCAGGCATAACGTAAATTTAACCAGTTGTGCTATTTGGGTATTATTATCAATCGTTTATTTTGTTTTTTTTTCTTAAGTTTTAGAAGACAAACATACCGTTGGCAAAAAAAAATAATATAAAAAGTTTGTAGGTTTTTTCGAGATAAGCTTTTTCAATTACAGATCTGCTTTAAAGAAAATTATTCGGGGTCAAAAAGCTTGTTTGTTTTTTTTTTGTCTTGGAGCATTGCCTTAATAACATAAATTGTAGGGGACATTTTTGTTTACATTTTTTTTCTAAAACATACTGTTCTCTTCAAAAACCTGTGCTATAACTTCAAAACGGTACATCGTTAAAAAAAGTTTATATGAATTTTGTAGGTTTTTAAATTACAGATCTGCGTTAAAAAAATCGTAGTTTAAGGATATGTCGTTTTAGCTTAATAATCTCGCGATTATTTTAACTTGTCTAGAATTTAAAGGTGTGGTTATGGAAGCGATTAATTTGTTGTAAATTTAGGTGACACGATCCCTGCAAGAGATTTTCTGGTCGAACCTTTTTGGAGCGGATTAAATAATTAGATGAGGTGATTGAGTTACATCTGGTAAATTGATACCTGCCGAGGGTCTAAACAATTAAATTGAATTTAGTTGGTTGTTTGTGGTGCAAGTAAGGTAAGAAAGGTATTCAAGTTCACGGGCAATACAGCTAAGTTCCGGTATGTTGCGAGGTATTCTCTCGCGCGGCGGGGTGCGGGCAGCAAAAGACGGCGGTGCAGCTCTTCTTCTTCTTCTTCTTCTTCGTCTTGGTCTTTGCCAACTTGTGGCTCATGTACTCGAATAGCCTCGGGCACCAGGCGTATACCAAGTCACGACCTTTCGTAACCTAACCTGCTTACCAAATTCACACACGAGAAACCCTATTTACATCGCACAAAATTAATGCCGCGGCAAAAATTAACACTTAAGTTTCGATCCGATTGACTTGAATTGAGATGAGAGTGAATTATCCGGTTGCTTAAGCCTCAAACCGTTTATTGAAATCATCCGCGTCAGCAGAATCAGCAATCGGGAAATTCGATTTGGGAGTTAAAAGGGATAAAATCGGCATTATCCTCGAACAGTTTTTATGATATTTTGTAATTACGCGCGCCCGACCACGGCATCAGTTACAAAGGTAACTAAATACCATTATGGAATTATTTCGCGTTTCGGGCCGCTATTTCGTCGAGGTTGTACTATTTTCGAATCGAATAAAAATGCAGTCAATTTAAATGTTGATCTATTATTAAGCGAGGAATTTTCTGGCGGCATCCCAAATGATTGAGATAAGATTTCAATTTAAATAAAATAAATATAGACACACTGCAAAAAGGGACGAGTGGATGTTTGGGCATTTCTAGTTATGTTAGCCTTTTGTTTAGCCGAACTGATATTATATGAAGGTGTCAGTGTGGTAACAAAGTCAACAGACTGGTTGCCCGTTGGCTTTTCACACCACAGAGCATCGCTTTATCATAACTAACGAATTGCTTGCTCTGCGTTTGGTCAAATGTAAACATATATTTGAATATCAAATCAATTAGTTAACACCCTTGTTATACTCATTTAACGAAATGTCATCCGCTGGACAACACGGCTGGGCATTTATTAATTTACTTAAAACAAATTCCGCGATAACAAACGTCATTGAACAATTTAAAACAATGCTCATATTTTAATTTGTCATATTTGCTAAAGTGTCAGAAATACTTCAATGAAATTTCCTTTTTGATGAGTTCAAGGTGCCAAGCACGTTAGAGACAATAACTACATTGTCTAACACTTTCACAAGAGATAGAGTACGATAGGTCGCCCATGCTTTTGATAAACGACGTATTGTTAAAATTCTATGTGATATTGTTGACCGTTCTCGTCTATTTGCACTATCTGTTTCATTTGCTTTGTTTACACCTATGCATACGCTTTATGTCAAGGACTATACATTCATACAAATTTAAATATTGAAAATTAATTAAAATTAAAACTCACCAGTCGTGAAAAGAACTATGGCTTTCAGGCAGGAATACTCCGCCGAATCCACATGAAGAGCCTTCAATTTTTCCACTTGCTCCTGAAAATTAAAATAAAAATTAAAAATTAAAGAGAGCGCGGGGTTGAAAAAATTACTTGGAATATCCTTATGTGGTCCATAAATTGCACAACTCTATCGGCGCACATCGGAGATGCATGTAAACCCGCTGCGGCTATAAGAGGCGCAACATGCAGAGGCATGGAGCATTGACTAGCGTTCAAAACGAACAATTCGGACCACACCAACCTCAGCAAAGCCACCTGGAACAACAACACATTCTTGAAAAGTACTCGTACGCGAATATTAGAAATACTCCCCAACACCAAAACAAAACACAAAGTGCTTAAAGTACTTTTCGCCAACGATGTTGGCATCTTCAGAGTGTAACTCAGTTACACTCTGAAGCAGGGATGTTGCGAATATTCGCATCCGCATCCGCAAATGCGGAGGTTCCGCATAGATTTGGACATCTGCATCCGCAATAATCAATGCGGATGTTCATGCGGATGCGAATGTTATACAAGGCCCCACTGTTTTGTTTTGGTGTTGGGGAATATTTCCAATATTTGTTTAACCTATCACCAAGTACTAGTACTCACTTGATCAGTAACTTGCAAATCGGGAAAAAACGGTATGTTTCTCGCCCATTCGACGGCGGAAAAAAGCAGCCTGGCCGCCAGTTCGCATATGTTCTCGATACCCATAATATTATTAGGCTGTATCATTTGGCCATACCGGCTAGTGGGGTACGGTTCGGCTCTGAGCAATAGCGATATGTAGCTGCTAAGGTACGAATGATTACTTAACGAAGTTGTTACGGAATCGCTGGAGTTCAGAAATTGATTCGGCAAACCTGGCAAGGCTGGCTGAGATGGTGGCACCCTGCCTCTTTGGACGGCTAGAAAAAAAAAAGTAAATCGGTTAGGCACTGTTTTCTACCTCAATTTTAAGACAAAAGTGCCTTGAATGGTATATTAAAGAACTAATGTCATAAGACGTCATTTTGTCGCACGCGGACAATTTATAAAACGAGCTACGAAGGAGCGAGTTTTGTAATGGACGAGTGCGACAAAGGATTTTCTTTGGTGTTAAACAAAATTTATTGCCAGAAAAGTTTCGTAAGCACTATAAAAATCATAAAAATATAACCAATATGCAAAATATTATGCTGTTTAAAGTATAGCCAACCTATAAAATCAAAATTTTGGGTGGAATAAAGTATCTCATTACAGCACCGAAAGCGGTGTTATAATGAAGTCATTATGAACGCAAAATATCAAAATAACTTCACAATATGATAATGTTAAGAAAATGTTTTCTCCTTTGATTTTTTTTATTACTATAATTGCAAAATATTATCACAAAGTATTAAAAATTCTTACACTGGAAATGTTAAAGGTACAAAAAGTGACAGTTTGTATTTATTGGAATTCCCGTTAGAATTTCTAACGTAAAATCTTTCTGTGTAAATCAAAATTTATCCCTTGCAAATAGACTAACAACCGATATTAAAGCATGCTTTTTTCACAGTAAAAGGGAAGAGAATGTTTTGTGGGCACTATACGCAAAATTTTTAAAGCTTTATCAGTTAAATATAGTTAACTACACTACTACAACGAAATTTTTACGAAAGAAACTTTTTTATAGGTTATTTAGGTAATTTTTAATGGTAAATTTAACTTAAATATTCTCATTCTCAGTCAAATTTTTACTATTCAGAGTGCTATGTATCGGTCGGTTTAATTAGAAAAAAGTTAACTACATGTCTATTACAATGGTATTTAAAAATTGAAAAAATTAGCGATTCTCACATAGGTAATTAAAAAAAACTGAAAACCTGTCAAAACAAAAAATCTTTATAAATTCGTTATTCCTGGGAATTTTGAAAAAGTTAGTTAGAAAATATAGAAGTATAAAAAATATATAAAAGATTTGCATTAGGTATAATTGCTAATTTTATAAAAATAAATACATAACAAACATATTTTGTTGAATGAAAATAAAAAAATACTAAAATGGTATTGGTATTAAACAATATATTTTTTCTACTCCCACCTTTTAAACGACCATTATCGTACATGTTTCCATGACACTAAGTGACCTTTTAAATACACATTGACAAGTTGTGGCTTTATGGCGCTTTAGTCACGGGCTGAAGTTAGCAACAGGTTTTTAGTCACGAAGTTAGTTTTAAGTTAGTTGACAGTTATCAAATGTCATACAATCGTTAAAATAAAGTGCCTTTCTTGTAAAATAATACTAAATGTGAAAATTCTTTTATTATCTCAATACAAAAATACAAAAGTATTAAATAGTTTCTCAACGCCAATATTTGAAAAGTTTATATGAACATTGTACTGACCTTTTAATTTCGCTGGCAGTAAACTATAACTTAAATTCGGACACGGACTCCACTGTAAAGTGCTCATTAAACATTTTCTTTACTTTAACTGTAAAAAACTGTCCATTTTCAAGAAATACATTTCGATTTATAACCTTTATAATGTGTGTTTATAAAATAAAAATAAAAATTTGACATTTGACGGTGACACACAGATTCCCCTATTGTTTCATAGATGGCGCATAGATGGCTATAAAAATATTTGATTTAAATCATTTTAAGATAATAATAAGTATTTGTCGTAGAAAAAGTATAGTATGCACCTCGTTAATAATCTTTTCTATACACTCATTAATTTAAGAACTCGCTCGCAAGCTCACTCGTGCCTAAATTAAATTCGGTTATAAATGGCGTTTATCAAACTTGATACATAATATACTATTAAAATCCAACTCGATAAATATAATAATATAAACTGAACTTTTGCGTCTATATTTTAGAAGATAAAAAAAATCGTTAAATATAGAAGACTTTTATTAAATATATTCTATAGAAGGCCTGGCAACCCTAACCACCACCATCTTTTGTTTTTTCTATGGTTAGATAGCAAAAAAAAATCATTATTAAAACAAAAGATGGTGTTGGTAACCCAAAACATAGTAGCAACGAAATTTGATAAAAATGTAAGTTAATGTGTATGTTAACATGTAAAACTTACTTTGTTTCAAAATTCCCATAAATAACAAAGTTACAACGATTTTTGGGTTTAGGTTTTTAGTATTTTTCTTCAAATATTTTACACATAGAAGTATACTTGGTGCACCTTGTATTATAACCACTTTATAACCGTAAATTATTCTTATTTGTCTGGGAACTTCTTAAGGTTTAAAGTGCCATAAAAAACTATTAGTAATAAAACATATTTTATGTAAAAAATAAATCTAAAAGGGTAATATTTCTGAAAGACGCCATATTAAATTATCTTAGATGTCATTCAATATTTAATAAAAATGTATTTAATCGTTCTTTACAAATATTTGAGAAAAAAGTAATAAATAATCTTCCAACCATAACGTACTTAGTACTGCTATTTTTTTCAATAAGTTGATTTTTCATGCTAAATATAATTAGTTATATTTATTAATTTTACTTTGTGGTAATTATTACCTACCTTAGGTAAACCTTTTTGTAATATAAATTAAAGACAATATAAATGTTAAAGGTTTAGAAAGAGAGAACAGACATGAAGGAATTTTAACGTTATTTTTACGTTAAAATGTGGTATTTAGTTTGTTTTTGTTGCGTTATTATTTTGGTCGCTTGGATTGTTAAGTAGTTAAAACAACGTATTAAACCATTTTTGGTAATTTTTTGTATTACTTTATCGTTTTCGTTTACTCTAAAAATAACTTATAATCAACTTGTAAGTAAACATGTAGTAATTTTAACTCAAAAATATGCTTTGGATGCCTTGTGGTCGAGAGTTTTCAGTCTTATTGAAATTTAGGAATATACAAAATGTGACAGTGTTATGAGATGTTTGTGTGCATTTGGAGGCCCTGTTCCAAGATGTTTTGTTATACAGGGCGTATATTTAGTAGATCAGGAACGTGTTACGCATAAATATGAAACGCGTGCATAGTGCACCAGAGGATTGTGGACCTTATGGGTTAGGCGAAGTGTGTCAAAAGAAAAAAAACTGCATTCCAACGAACTAGACACATATAATTTGCAGTCAGAACCTGTTTTTCAATTTGTGTTCATAATATTTTCTTTGTAATTTAACAGCATTATGCTGTGGCGTTAGAGAAAGTTTTTTCTTAATAATTGATCATTTTTGAAGCAAATAATTTGTTTGCATTAAACGGTTTGAACTTAAAAAAAAATAAAACGTAATATAAGCACGGGGTCAACAAAGAGAAAAAAAACGTTACGTTAAAATCAAGATAATAAAGGCGATTAAAATCAGTTGAAAAAGGAAGGAGAACAAAACAAGACAAAACAGTGATTTGCTCGGTTAGAAGTTAAGTTCTCGGATGGACGGGTCGGGCACTAGCTCGGTGCCCAGTGCTGAGCTTATGGTTGCTCTTGCCGTTCTATGGCCGGTGCTCGATGGTTAAGGTAGAGGCTACAGGGTCAGGGTCAGCTAAGGTCATTTCCCACGATAACCGCGTACAGCATAGCAACCTAACTCTCTGAATTATAAGTATACAAGTTCCGCGGAATATAACACATCTTTCCATTCTACAATTTTACATGTAATGCATTACTTATCTTTATTCATTTTTGCTTAATTCGATCGAATTTTTTCTGTTGTTCTTATTTTTCACCGGAGAAAGTAATCCAGCCTTAGGGCTAATCTTATAAATAATATGCCGAATGATCGGCCGGCTGAGATTTTTATTGTCGCTATCATTAATTTCTAAAACGTTGTAGATGGAATTTTAGAAATTGCATTTGCATTAAAATTTATGCTAAACCAAAGCGGGTCAAAGGTCGTCTTTATTGTGCTATAATTCATAAAACCCATTCCGTTTAGCATATCCCAAATGGATTTACTAGTTATAATATTGAGAAAAACACTGTTTTTAAAAGGTGGAAGAAATAGCCTTAGACTGGTCCAGTCCATCATAATCTGAAGAGCTGTATCGGGGATATGAGATCATTAATCAAGCGCTATAGTTGTCTAAGATCATTTATATTGCTAGTGACGTTTGAATTAACTTTGATTGCTGTTCAAAGTGTTTTTTATATTTTTTGACATACATAGATTGTTTTATTGTCGTTGTTAAATATCTACACGTAAATATTTCAAGAATTTATGATACATTGACACGGAAAGAATCGAAAGCAAAAGTTTTTATTATCTAAAAAACATAAAGGAAGTTAATTTCTGATGGGGTGCGATGACCATAACGTCTCTATGACATATTATTCCGCCGTAAAAACTGGCTAGAAAACATCTTCCAAGACCGGCTCCCATATAATGCAATTAAATTAATGTAGTGAGTGAGGTTTTTTTCCTAGAAAACTTTTATATTCATTGTTTCATCTGCTATTCAAAGCGACATATGACAAAAATATTTCAACCTCCTTTTATTTTTTCTACCAGTTGTATTTTAAAATATTCCACGTAATGTAACCTCAGTCTTTGTCTGACGCAGCATCATTTTAATGTTTTTATTTCCCTATCTGCACGTTTCTACTCTCTTATTGTTTCAATTTCTTTTCTTTTCGACCAACAATACCCACTCTTTACGAATTATTATGCACAACAATTTTTCTTATTATTGTGATGGCCAATTAGGTACTAGGCTTCGAATACGAAATAATGACCCTTATGGCCGTCAATTAAACTAATGTATTCATATTAATAAAAATCGTTTAAAAGCCGAGAAAAGTCAACCCTAATACTTAAGAGATGAGGGCTTGCGGAGCGTGGCCTAATAAACACAAACAAATAAAAATAAAAAGAGGCTCGTGGACCAAGCGTTGCGTTTTTTATCCAGTTTACCTGGATCTCAACCCTTTCCGCCTTATCCCTGTTGCATCTTTGTTTCAACACAAATGATTTGTAGTTGTTTAAAAGGCCAAACAGAAGGAATAGCACAATGTAATAAATAACATCTTGCCCTTTGCAGTTTTGATCAGGTAGCAAACTAGTTATACGTTCAAGGGGTGCAGTGGTTTCCACAAAGAAAGACACCTTGCACCGCGCTCAAGGGTAACATTTATACGTATGCGTATTTGACCAATGTCCACTGGAAATATTATGTAAATCAGCCCTGGGGACTAAATCCCTTATTTAAATTTTTCTTTTCTTCGTCGTGGGAAAGCTTTGTGCGGATTTACTTTTATAACTGGATATAGACACAGTAAAACCCAATTTATGATCCGTGACATTATTTTCAATGATGGACATTTATTTATCATGAAAATCTCTAATCATTTTTTTCTGCTACACGAGATATATGCATTACTTACACAACACAACACAGCATAAGCATACTAAACAGTTTCAATCTTTCAACTTTTCCGTTTTGTTTTAATCAGAAATTACACTGCCCGACACGATTTATTGCGTTTTTCATTAAATATAAAAAGAGATAGTAAGAAAAATATAGTCATGGACATTAGAACTTTTTAAAATTTACCTAAAAAAACATTTTAGTTAAAAAAACTACACAAATCCTTAATTTTGTAAAATTTTACTTGGTTTTCAAAGATTTGAATGGTTCAGTCGTGGAAAGTAGTAATGCACTCTTTTAATTTTTGTCTAAATTAATTTTTTGAAAATGCCGGCATTACTTTATTCGTAAATAAAATAAAACAGAAATATAAAATTAATTTTCTAGAAACTCCTGTATGGCGTAAAATATTTTTTTTAATTAGATATAATTTTATAACTTTACTATATAATTTTAAGGGCAATTCCTTAATATGCTTGGGTAACTTATCGTATAAAACAGGTCCCCAATAAAAGGTAGAATTTACTAGAGACCGGATTATAGCAATTGTATATTTTAGCTAATTTTACAGATTTAACCATATTTTACTGATAACCTGCTGCAAAATCAATAGTTTTTTAATAGCGTGAGTGAATTTTTTAGACGATAGATACAAATATTTCACCTATAGGTGAGGTTATGCCTTCAAGTACTGCCCTCTTACCCCAGTGATCTAGGAACGTTTATTTACAATTTATAAAAACATTTTAACGTAAAGTCGTGGAAACTAGTAATGTATTTTTAATACATTACAACTTTTTCAATTTCCTTTAAAAAAAATTGTTTTTAAAACCTAAATAACAAAAAATCCATAACAAATCATAAAATCCTAATTTTATTAAAATTTTATTTGGTTTTCAAAGATATATATAGTAATTTTTTTATTACATTACAACTTTTTTAATTTTCTTTTAAAAAAATTGTTTTGAAAATAATTTAACAAAATATTCATAAAAAATCATAAAATCTCAAGATTAATAAAATTTTACCTGGTGTTCTAAGATTTAAGTGTAAATTGGTGATGTATTTTTTATTACTTTACAACTTATTCAATTAATAGTTTTTCAAAAAAATTTAAAAAAATATGCGTAAAAAAATTTATAATCGCCTAATAGAACTTTATCTGGTTTAAAAAGATTTAAGTTTAGTCATAGAAAATAGTAATGCACTTTTTTTATTTTTGATATCCGTAAAAAAATCATAAAATATTTTAGGATATCCTAAGTTAAATGAAATTTTACCTGGATTTTTAGGTTTTGAGTGTATAGTCATGGAAAATAGTAATGCTTTTTTATTATATTATAACTTATTCAATTTACTCAAAGGAAAAATCCTTCAAAAAATTAAACAAAATATCCGTAAAAATCCTAAAATCAAGACAATCCCAGTTTAATAACATTTTATCTGGTTTTAAAAGATTTTAGTATACAGTCATGGAAAATTGTAATGCATTTTTTAATTAAATAATGCACTTCTTTCACTTTTGATATCCGTAAAAAAATGATTAAATATTAAATTTAATGAAATTTGATATGGTTTTCAAAGATTTGAGTATAGTATATAGCATAGTCATAGACAATCGTAATGCATTTTTTATTGCATTTATACAATTCCCTTTAAAAATATTTGTGTTTTTTAAAAATTAAACAAAAATATGCGTTAAAAATGATAAAATCCTGAGTTTAATAAAATTTTATCTGGTTTTTAAAGATTTAAGTGTAGTCATAGAACATAGTAATGCATTTTTTGATACATTACAACTTTTACCATTTTCTTAAAAAAATGTTGTTTTAAATAAAAATGTAAGAAAAATATCAGTAAAAAAATATAAAAGTTTAATAGAATTTTATCTGGTTTTAAAAGATTTAAGTGTACAGTCATAGAAAATATTAGTGCAGTGTTTTCATTTTTGATATCCGTAAAAAAACTCAAAACTCTAAGTTTAATAAAATTTTATCTGGATTTGAGTGTAAAGTCATAGAAAATGGTAATACATTTTTTTACATTACAACCTATTCAATTCCCTTTTAAAATATTTGTTTTTCTAAAAAAATTGAACAAAAATAGGCTTTAAAAATCACAAAATCCTAATTTTAATGAAATTTGATGTGCCCTTTAAAGATTTAAGTGTTCAGTCATAGAAAATATTAATGTATTTTTATTACATTACAACCTTTTTGAATTTCCTTTTAAAAAAATTGTTTTTGAAAAAAATTAACAAAAATATCCGTAAAAAGTTTAATAAAATTTTATCTTTAAAGATTTGAGTATATAGTCATGGAAAATAGTATTGCCTTTTTTATTACATCACAGCTTAAAATTAAAAAAATAAATAACCAAAATATCTGTAAAAAATTCTCAAAATGTACAAGTTTGATTTTATATAGTTTTGAAAGATTTGAGCCAGGGAAAATAGTAATGCATTTTTTTAATACATTACTACTTTTACAATTTTCAATATAAAAATAGTTTTTGAAAGAAAATTTACAAGAAATCCGTAAAAATCATGTATTTTCAAAGATTTGAGTGTACAGTAATGGAAAATAGTAATGCATTTTTTTTAATACTTTACAATTTCCATTATAAAAATAGTTTTAAAAAAAATTAACAAAAATATCCGTAAAAAATCATAAAATCTATTTTTTATAATAAAAAGTAAAAATTTTATTCAAAATTATCAAAAAGTTTTAATTTGATTTTTACAATGTTTGGTAGGTTAAATAAAATAAAAAAATCATTATTCAAATGTTCCTGATATTTATAAAAAAGAAAATATTGTAAAACTAATGTCCAAGACTGTGCCAACTATAAAAGTTTCAAAGGCAGGAATTTTGTAATTTTTAAAGTGAATTGATTAGTAAAAGTTGATAGATGAGAGTGGCATTGTGTGGGGAAGGAAATAAAAGGGGGACTATTTCGGAAGGAACTGACCGGTGGAGATTTAATTTAAATATCTTAGGTAAACACAGGTAGGTTTAGAGAGATGAGAGTGATTTTTGGGGCCTTTTCGGTATAAAATTTGAATAAATTTTCTCCCATAGATGGGATATTAAAAGTGGCCAGTTATAGAAAATAGGAGGACCATTAATCTAAAGTCGGTTGTTAATGTATGCATGACTGTAAACGATCTTTTAGGTTGGTACGGGAATAGAGGCCTTTGTGTGGAGTCGGCGGTCAAGTATTTGTATATTAAGTCGATCAATCATCTGCAAGAATAGGGAACTGCTGCTTCGCCGTTCCTGCCTTATACCATCATACCAACACACATTATATATACATAAGCTTAAATATTTTCATGTATCAACAATTTTTATTAAAATTCATTCATCAAATTCGACTAAAACAATTTTGGGGCCCAGAATATATCCGAAAATTGTTTTCACTACTATTATTTTAAATCATTAATCATACGTTTACCTTCTCTTCTCATTCCCATTTTCATGCATTTTTTTAACCGACAGTACTGACACTGGTTCCTATGGTGCTGGTCAATCGGGCAATTCCTACTCCCCCGACATGAGTACGTCAGATTCCTTCTAACGCTCCTCTTGAAAAATGACTTGCAACCTGTAAAAGAAAACAGCTATAATGACGTCTCAAAAACACAAACACTTCGGAAATCTCATTTGGGCGCAGCACCATTATATTTATTAATATAAAAAGGTGAAGTGGGTATTTATATGCATGCATCAAAAATTGAAGGAGACGTGGAAATTCGGATGGGATGGACACGACGACGTGGTGCCTGGGGGCGCGATTTTAATACCCATATAACCCATACGTGCTAATTCTCATGCATATTCATTATGCAAATTTTTTGAATTCCACACTTCTGTGTTTATGTATTCTTCATGTCCAGATAACTGGGTGAATTTTATTCAATTAAAAGTTCATTTCCAAAGCTTAAAAATCATTTTTTACCATTGTAATTGTACACCAACAGCACGTGAAATCGTACGAGTTAAGAAACCTTTCTTAAGTATCGAGGATTAAAATAAAATAAAGAATGTCAAAACGAATAAAAACAATTTAGGGCTTCTCAGATTTATTTTTTGTTTGTTTGTCTGCTAAAACAAAGGAGATCCTTAAATAGGCTTAATGTTTAGTATAGTTGTTCTTAAGGGAGATATATTTTAGTTCCTGCTGACGAAATGTGAAAAATCTAGACATCGTTATGGCCCCTAACTTTACATTTGACAGCCCTTTGGGGAATATCGAAGAAAAATTGAGCTTTATAAAAACATTTTCAGTCGTAAAACCATAAATGTATCTCATCGTGGAAAAAATTATCTTTATTATTAGCAGGATGGTGTACTCCAGCGGCGTAAAGGTTCTTTGACTGATTGGCTTCGTTGGGTTCGAGTGCATTAAGATTAAAATCAGTAATTAATTAAGATTTTATGCATTTTAGTTTTAATACAAACGCAAATTGTTCATGTTTAATATAATAATAATAGTTAAATAAAATCATCACCATAAATTTCAAATTTAATTAACGAATTCGACGGATTCAATCGAGTTAATTATTTATGCTTTTCATTCGGTCAATTTTGCGTTGATTTTTATTACCTCATTGTACATATTTGTATGACATTCCAGGTGCTTAGAAAACAATACATCACCGTGATTTTACCAGGTGTATCAAAAAAGCAACAATGCAAAGACAAAAAGTTAAAAAATCGTGGGACCACCTGCACGTTTGTGAGTCTTTCCGTTATCATTATTATTACTATTATTAATAATTGCATTAGACGAAAATAATTTACCGGACGTTACATTGTTCCAGATTTATGTAATTGTCTGGCGGACAGACGGAGCGGAACCGCCGTCGAACAAAAATTGGGGACGAAAGGGCTCTCGTGCTGTCTTGTCTGTTCCACTCTGAAGAACAAAAAAACTGGCCCAAGAAGAACGCGTTTTAAATGATTTCGTTGAACAATTATTAGAAATTAGAAACACCAAAACAAGTACTTTTTGCCAATGAACAGAAGTTAAGTTAATATTGGAAATATTTCTAATACACTCACATGAATTTCAATCGCAAATAACTTTTTTATTTGATGTCGGATTTAAACGAATATTAAGGAATATTGTAGATAAATTAATGGACAATCGCTAACATTTTAAAAAATTACTAAAAAATACACGTACGTTTATAATATACAGGTTTAAACAAAAAGATGTTTTTTACCATAAGTTTAAGACACTCTGTAGAGTGGCAAAACCGTATATTGTTCTAAATTAAGTTTTATTTATCAAGTCACATCTATTCTTAACAGTTTTGTTTTTGGTTCACCTCGATATATTTATTTTTGTGGAAAATATGGTTTTTTTAAAAAAACATTGCAATTTCCAATATTTTTCTGTATGAAGAACTAAGGTTGCTATGGTCCATCCATATGCTATGGAGAATGACAGTGACAGTTTTGTTGAATCATCCCATACTTGGACATGTCATACACGGCTTTCAAAAGCTATCAAATTGTTTTTTGCAAATTAATGTTTAAATTTTGAGGTGTCTTCTTACTTTGAAAAATGGATATGTCCCTGACTGATGTTGCCAGAGCAATTAATTTAATCCAGATGGACGTTCACAGTAGTGTTTTAAACGTCACAAGAAGTAAAGTACAAAGGGCAACATCAGTCGGAGACATTTTTAAAAGTAAGAAGACACCTCAAAATTAACACATTAATTTATAAAAAACAATTTGATCGCTTTTGAAAGCTGTATATGACATGTCCAAGTATGGGATGATTCAACAAAACTGTCACTGTCATCCTCCGTAGGCTACGGATGGACCATAGCAACCTTAGTTCTTCATACTGGAAAAATATTGGAAATTGCAATGTTTTTAAAAAAAAATCCATATTTTGCACAAAAATAAATATATCAAGGTGAACCAAAAACAAAACTGTTAAAAATAGATGTGACTTGATAATTAAAACTTAATTTAGAACAATATACTTAAACTTATGGTAAAAAACATCTTTTTGTTTAAACCTGTATATTATAAACGTACGTCTATTTTTTAGTAATTTTTTAAAATGTGAGCGATTGTCCATTAATTTATCTACAATATTCTTTAATATTTGTTTAAATCCGAAATCAACGTTGATAAATTTGGTGGATTTGGGGATTGGGTCACCACGTGCCATTGGGGGTGCGTTAAGCGTGGTGATTTGAACGATTTGATTGGATAAAATGTGTTGGATAAAAGTGTTACCTTCGCAGGTGAATTGTCCGTAGTGTTTCCCTGAAGATTTGTCTCCGCAGACCACGCACTCAATGTTTTGGTTTTTGTCGGCACTGTTAGCACTGTTTTGAGAGTTTTGCGAGGGTGTCTGGCGGTTGATCAGAGATATGTCTCCGTTGTCGAGGGTGATCGGGTTAAGGTTGGCGGGCAACGGGTTGAGAGACGGCGTGCCGACGGACGGCGGCAGCGGTCCGTTGAGCCCGTTCGACAGCGTGTTCAGACTGTTCGGGATGGGGTTGACTAGCGATGAGTCGCGCCAAGACGTTACGACCATAGCCATCGCGTTATTAACTACTCACGTCCCTTTTCGCACACCACTGTTTTGTTTATTCTCGAGCACGAACACCGAACTAAGAAGTTGACATCACGACGGCGAGCACCACGACGGAGGTAACAACAACAACAACAACAACGTAGACCAGCTGAAGAAGTAACCTGGAGAGCAGGGTTCAAAGCCTTTGAACTGCGATCGCACTTGGAGACTTGGACGATTTCGTTTTCTGACGGAGCACGTATCTTCGCATTGGAGGTGATAGGTCAACCCCACAACACACTCTAGCCTCTACTAGTGACCTTTCGGTCTCGGGCCCGACACTGACTTGGCCTGGGCGGACCGGGGAGGTTCTTAGTTCACAGCCGGGTCACGATAGGCCATAGGGCGTTCCCCGCACGATGGTGGGGGAACTCTTGCGAAATGCGAACGCGCATCCGACACTCCATCCAACTCGTATTATACACACAAACGTACATACTACTACTATTCTCTATTCGAAAACCTTCCAAACGGACGAACGTTAATCGACTGCCGTGCACCTCTGCAACATCCACGATCTTCCTGCTTCTGGTGCTGCTACTACTACCTCGCATCTCGGTCCTTCGAGCCGGACCAACCCTACCACCTTCTCGTCCAAACACGTGCTTTACTTTGCACTCTACATTAGCTTTAATACCGATAACGATACCATCTACTCTACCTTTACATAATACTTACACACATCAACTTTATCAACATTTACTCTTTTATTTTTGTCTCGAATGATCTTTTACTTTCAATAGAATATATTATAAATATATAGTATATTACACTACAAGGGCAGAAAGTGTGAGATTCCTGCACTGCGCGCCATGATGCCCGAGGCGAAGCCGAGGGCATCATGGCGCGCAGTTCAGGAATCTCACACTTTCTGCCCGTGTAGTGTATACTATTTTTCTTGCTACCCCGCAGAAAATACGGGAAAAAGTTAAATGTATATAAAAAAACTTGTGTCAAAATTAAAATCTGACGTTTAATTTAATTCTGACGTTTACATTCAAAATCAATCAAACTGTAGCGTTGTCATGGTAATTCAGCGGTGCCAATACAGTAAAAATAAAAGGTTGTATTTTAATTAACAAATTACTACTTTATAACAAATAAAAGTACCATTAAACACTTAAAACAACATAAAAAGTAAAAAAGTAAAAACATAAATTGTTTATTTGTTGTTATAATTGCAAAATTATGGTTTAAAACTGTCATATTTTTGTGTTTCTTATGTTGGCAGTACGAAATTTGAATGTTAAGCACACGACTAAAAAATTTTTACTCCCGCTATTAGAGTGTGCGCGTATAGCTTGACCAATGCAAGAAACGTAAACTTTCTGCCGTGAAATCGGGGACGAAACAACGTATTTTGAGTCGAGGTAGTAAGAAAAATACTTATTGAAATGACATTAAGAAACAAAAAAATAATTTAAGTTTAAAGTCGAAAAAACACTAAATTGTAAAAACATCGAATTCCTTTATAAATTTCTATTATTTATTTTTTGTTTTTTTTTTAACTTTTTTTTTATTTAATTTATTTTAATTAATATTTATAATACACTGCCCGTCAAAATTAACGCATAATAAGTAACAAAATTCTAACTCTAAAACGCCTGTACCAATCTTTATAAAATTTTGAATAAAAATGCTTTAACTTATATCTCAGTTTACGTGTTCAAGGGTTTTTCGAAAAAATATCCTTAAAGCCCTTTTATTTAATATTAAAGAAAACGCTCGAAATAAAACTTTTATAGAGAATAGTAAATAAAAAATATGCTGTTAAAGACCGTATTTTTGTTAGTATACCCTAAAAATGTTGTACAAATCACGAAGATACACTGCCCTACTATGAAGAAAGGCAGTAACTGCAAAAAAATTCAAAATGTGTTTTCTTGTGCTATGGAAAAGCTATAAACATTTTGTAACCGAAAGTTAAAAAAATCAATTAAATACCTACTGCTTTTTATAAAAATGTAGTTTATGCTAATTTTCCACAAATTTCTTGTTTAGCAGTTACTGCCTTACAGCGCTTTAAAGTCGATAAAAATGACCACTTTTCAGCAAAATAATCAAAAAGGGATCATTTTTACCGACTTTGAAGCGCTGTATCCTCGTTACTGTTCGTTTGATTTGTACAAAATTTTCAGGGTATACCTACTAACAAAAATACGGTCTTTAACAGCATATTTTATATTTACTTAAAAAAAATTTCCTATAAAAGTTTTTTTTCGATTGTTATTTTTAATATTAAATAGGGCTTTAAAAATATTTTCTCGAAAAACCCCTCGAACATGTAGATATAAATTAAAGTATTCTTATACAAAATTTCATAAAGATTGGTAAAGCGTTTTAGAGTTAAATTTTTTTTTACTTATTATCCGTTAATTTTGACGCGCAGTGTATTAATACTTTTTTAATAAAAATCAAGTTTTTTATATACCTACGTATGTACATATTTTTCTCCCTTATTTTTTTTATTAAAATACGAGTCCAGTTTAAATGAATGAGTAAAAATATCAAATCTTATATTGTATATTATTGCCCATATTACTATATAAGGCCGTATTTTTTAATTTGTGAAAATATGAAAAAAATGGATTTGATATTAAAACCGTGATATTTTAATCGATCAATTAATAATTGATACAACACTAAAAATCATTAAAATATTTAAAAAATACTAATTTTAATATACAGGGTATTTCTACTCAAAATTGACAACGTAATAGGTAGATCTCATTGTGACTTTTTTTTAAATAATTTTTTTTCATTTAAAATTTTGTTATTTATGACCAAATTAAAAAAAAATTAGATATTAAACTGACAATAACAAAACAATTTTTAAAAATCTGGACATAATATGTTACATACATACATATTATGTAAATAACGTGTATAAAAAGGTTTATGTAAAAACTTAAATAGTATATATTGTATTAGGTTTTATAAACGCCATTTTAGTTTTATTAGGCACAAACGAAGCTTGCGAGCGAGTGTTTAATAAAAACGAGTGTCTAGAAAAGTTTATAAAGGAGTTTCATACTATACTTTATCTACGACGAACACAGAATTTAAAGCCAATTTTATTTGTTAAAAATCCAACCTCACATTTTCTCAATTTATATAAGAGCTAACTTCAGCTCCTGACTAAAAAGCTTAGCTTTAGCTAGTGACTAAAACGCCATAAAGTTACAGTTCGTCAATGTAGGAGCATATAATAGTACATAATGTATCAAGTTTTATAAACGCCATTTTAGTTACGAGTTTTATTAGGCACGAGCGAAGCTTGCGAGCGAGTGATTAATAAAAACGAGTGCTCTAGAGAAGTTTATAAAACGAGTTGCATACTTTAATTCGATTAGAGGTTCCTATAGGAACCTCTAATCGAATTATAATTGTAAAATTATTTGTGCTTTTATATAGCGTGTTTTTAATAAAATTTAAAGGTACCGTTTGCTTTAATAATGTTTTTTTTACTTACATATCGTTTGTATCCCAAAATGTTTGAAGACCGTTTACCCTATATATGTATATGGCATGGATTTGTATTTTATTTTGGAATACAAAAAAAGGACTGGACAGTGCAATTTTAGTGAATTCCAATGCTTCATTGCTGGCCTTTTTTTTAAATTATGTTGTAGTATAATAAATTAATATTATTACATACTTATGTACATGTTTTATTTTTTGCCCACAAACCAATATTCTTATGGGTATTAATTTAAATATTAATATATTAAATATTAAAATAAATAAAAATATACAATTTATAATGTAAAAATTATTTACAAAATATTGTTAAAATAACAAATTAAAATAATTAAATGAAGACATATTATTTTTGTAAAATCAATAGAAAGTAACACTTTTTTGTGTAAAATAGATAAAATATAAATAAATTTAACATATTTAATTATGTTTAAGTTATACACATTTTAAATCATATTTATTATTAGTTTAGGTCAAAATAACCATTTAAAAAAATTGACACAATACAATTTGTTAAATTAACTTTGCAGTTATGTAAAAAAAATAACATAAGTATTAATTTTCTTTTACACGTTCTGTTGTGTTAAAAATTAACATGAGTAATAAAAATCAAAAAAACTAAAAAATTTGAGTGAACTTTCTGGGACACAAGAAATATGTTAAATATATGTATGTATACATATCAATGTTTTACTGTGTAATAATCATTATTAAAATGAGAAAATTAGGTTAGGTAAATTTGACAGTTATCAAATTTCTAGATTGGTTCAAACGGTTTCTTTGAGAATAAAATGATTTATAATTATTATTTAATAAAACTAAGAAAAATCATTAAATTAAAAACAATAATAAAATTATAAAACAAACTTATGAAAGTGATTGATCTAACAAAATATTATTTATTTTTATCTTATTCTCAGTGATAACTTTTACCCAACAGATTAGGTATTAGGCAATTGTTTAGAGGCCGTCTCCGAAATAGTCAACTCCCCCCATACATCGCTATTTAGGAATTAACAAATAAAATGTTCGAATAGTGTTTATAAATAAATACAAAAGCTGTGGATCTTCATCGTTAATCTTTCGTTTAGCGTAATCCTCGTAAAAAAGTCCCCTCATCCAGATTATTTAAATCAACGTGTTTAGTTTAACACATCGAGCGATTTATTTTTAATCGCCCTATTTTTAAGGATGCGTGCCTCAATTTGACATCTAATACGCATGCATTAAAAAACTACAATCATTATTGTTTCCTTAATAGGTCTTCTTAAAAAGATATATTATAGGTATATTCGAAATTTTTTCGCCTTACCTACACAGTAAAAAATTTATATGTATATTTAACATATTTCTTGTGTCCCAGAAAGTCCAATCAATTTTTTTAGTATTTTTTGATTTTTATTACTTATGTTAATTTAACAAATCGTGTTGTGTCAATTTTATTTTTTTTAAATGGTCATTTTAACCTAAACTAATAATTAATTTAAAATCTGTATAACTTTAACATAATTAAATATGTTAAATTTATTTATATTTTATTTATTTTACACAAAAAAGTGTTACTTTAACATGTAACTTTCCATTGATTTTACACAAATAGTATGTCTTCATTTAATTAATTTAATTTGTTATTTTAACAATATTTTGTAATTAATTTTTACATTATTAATTGTACATTTTTATTTATTTTAATAAAATATTTAAATTAATACCTATAAGAATATTGTTTTTTGGGCAAAAAATAAAACATGTACATAAGTATGTAAAATAATAATAATTTATTATACTACAACATAATTAAAAAAAAGGCCAGCAATGAAGCATTGGAATGCACTAAAATTGCACAGTTCAGTCCTTTTTTTGTATTCCAAAATAAAATTTTAACAATATTTTGTAATTAGTTCTTACATGATTAATTGTATATATTTATTTATTTTAATAAAATATTTAAATTAAAATAAGAATATTGGTTTTTGGGCAAAAAATAAAACATGTAAGTATGTAATAATAATG